TTGCTCTAGTTTCAAGAGCTCTAGCTCCAGGGCAAGAGCTCTAGCTCCAGGTAGCTCTAGTTTCAATAGCTCTAGCTCCAGGTAGCTCTAGTTTCAAGAGCTCTAGCTCCAGTTAGCTCCAGCTTCAATAGCTCTAGCTCCAGTTTACGTGGCAGGCGCAGCACTTTGTGAACTTCCATGCGCAGATTTCGTGGCAGGCGCAGCACGTTGTGAACCTCCACGCGCAGATTTCGTGGCAGGCACAGCACTGTGTGAACCTCCATGTGCAGATTTCGTAGCAGGCGCAGATTGCGTAGCAGGCGCAGTACTTTGTGAGCCTCCATGCGCAGAGTTCGTGGCAGGCACAACACTTTGTGAACCTCCACGCTGCTCCGAACCTCGACTCTCGGGTCACGCATGGTCGGATCATGGTCGGATCATTCTCGGAATCGTTCCTCCATTGTGATTAGAGTTTTCTCTTGCTTCTTGACGCGCAGATGTCGTGGCAGGCACAGCATTTTGTGAACCTCCATGCGCAGATTACGTGGCAGGCACAGCACTTTGTGAAGCTCCATGCGCAGAATTCGTGGCACTTAGTGAACCTCCATGCGCAGATTTCGTGGCAGGCGCAGCACTTTGTGAACCTCCATGCGCAGATTTCGTGGCAGGTGCAGCACTTTGTGAACCTCCATGCGCAGATTTCGTGGCAGGCACAGCACTTTGTGAACCTCCATGCGCAGATTTCGTACCAGGCGCAGCACTTTGTGAACCTCCATGCGCAGATTTCGTGGCAGGCGAAGCACTTTGTGAACCTCCATGCGCAGATTTCGTGGCAGGCGCAGCACGTTGCGAACCTCCATGTACAGATTTCGTGGCAGGCGAAGCACTTTGTGAACCTCCATGCGCAGATTGCGTAGCAGGCGCAGTACTTTGTGAACCTCCATGCGCAGAGTTGGTGGCAGGCACAGCACTTTGTGAACCTCCATGCTGCTCCGAACCTCGACGGGGAAGCTCCGCGGAATGACGGCTGCGAGACGGTCTCGGGTCATGGTCGAACATGGTCGGATCATTCTCGGAATCGTCCCTCCATTGCGATTAGAGTCTTCACTTGTTTCTTGACGCGCAGATGTCGTGGCAAGCGCAGCACTTTGTGAAGCTCCATGCACAGATTACGTGGCAGGCGCAGCACTTTGCGAAGCTCCATGTGCAGAATTCGTGGCGGGCACAGCCCTTAGTGAACCTCCATGCGCAGATTTCGTGGCAGGCGCAGCACTTTGTGAACCTCCATGTGCCAGCACTTTGTGAACCTCCATGTGCAGATTTCGTGGCAGGCACAGCACTTTGTGAAGCTTGAGGTGCAGATTTCGTGGCAGGCGTAGCACTTTGTGAACCTCGAGGTGCAGATTTCGTGGCAGGCGCAGCATCTGGCGAGCTGGAAGCTGAGAACTAGCGACTTTGTAGTTCAACTTTAGTACGCGGAGTAATCTGGCGAGGTGAAGGCTGAGAACTGGCGTCTTGAAACTGGCGATTTTGTAGTACAACTTTAGTACGCGGAGTATCTGAGGAGCTGGAAGCT